AGTGGGAAAGTAGCACAAAGACAGTACCCAAGTCACCCCCTTGTATGGGGGGCAGCAAAAGATGAAAAGAACACTCTGTTGATGGAAGTTTTAGTCATTTAGTTTGAGTCTGTAAATAAAAAATAAATGGAATTTTCATAATGTGTTGTTAAGTCAAGAATTAATTTTCTATGAATTTAAACTTGCACTTTATTGATACCAAAATATGTTTTGTCTAAAAAACTAACAACAAGCTTTATTTGATTGTCTGAGTAAAATTATGATTATTATAATTATTGTAAATCAGAGTTCTGTTTGGTCAAAACCCAATTCCTTCTACTTTCTGGTATCAGACATGAACAACCCCAAATCAGGTGAAACCATTCAAAATTTGACGGAATTGTCTGAAGTCGGACGGAAAGGTCTGTAATCTGAAATTGAACCATCTACAACTGGATGGAACTATCCAAGATCAGAGTAGCCTGTCTAAAGTGGGCTTGAACCATTTGAAATCCCAAGGAGGAATCAACCTGAAACACTGCTGTTTTTAAAGGGTGACTACACAAATGTTTCGAGCATAAAAGTTGAACAAGTTTTTCTATAGCTTTTAATTTGGCCAGTCACAACTTAATTACTCAAGCTGTCCTTACAGAAAGTAGATGCAACTGTTTGCAGTTGGTGTAATTAATTATTATTATATTAATTATTAATATTAATTATATTAATCAGAAACAGAAACATGAAAATTGGACGAAACCATCTGACGTCAGACAGAACAGTCCGAAAGTAGATGGAACTGAAATGAAAAGAGATCAACTGAGATTGAACCGAACTGCCCAAAATCAGAGGAACCATTGTAGCCAGATAAGGCAGAACCTTCTGAAATAAGACAAAATTGTCTGAGATTCAATGGATCTGACCTAAATGAGACCATAGATATGAAGTTCTTTTGCAACAGAGGTTTAGTTGATCGATGCTGCTTATACATTACCCTGGTCATCTTCAAGGTTTTAATCTGGAGGTGCTTTTAAGTTACCCTGCTGTGCCCATGGAGTTCTTTCAACTGGTGTTAGAAAAGATGACATGAGTTTTTGTAAAAGGAGAGTCACAAATGGAAACATTAAGCACGACAACGGCTGCTGAACAGCAAACAGTGAAAATGAACTCTGATCTTACTGTCCTTACTCAACTTTTGAATGATCCTAGAAACATATCAAAATATCTCTTTTTCACAGGTATTGCAAATATTTTCAATTCAGGGAAAAATTGTCTGAAAGCAGACAGCAGGAAGTTTAATGTTTGCCTTAGCATCGATTCTTAGTTATTTTAATAGTACAGCCTGTAAAACTTGCCTACCAGATCTCTGGAAATTATAATGAGAAATCAAGCCTACTAATAAAGAATCAGTGGTAATTGGTGATGATAGCCTAAGTACATCATGTATGGGGAATTATTCTACACTCATTACATATTATGTCCTATACTTTACATACAGGCAGTGAGCACTCTGATTGCATTGCATCATGGTCGAAAAAAAAAAGCAAGTCATTTGCATTCTGTCGCGGTCAAGTGAACATCTCTGGTAACAGCGAGATAGCGTGAATAAATATGGAATGTAATGGGTATTCACTATTGCTGTTCCTTTGAAAGTTAAAAAGTGTTTGCTAGCCTATGTGATTCCTGTTATTCCTCCAAGACAAATTGGTTGTTTGGAGGCAACTGAAGAGATTCAGAAAGAATTGAAACCGCAGCCTTGCCCAAGAATCTTTTATTTGGCAGCAGTTACCCTCACAGCCGATGGCTGTGTGAATAATATAAAAATGGGGAATTGACCCTTAAAATGCAAACACATTAAAAAGAGACAGCAACCTTCTAATACACAAACTATTTTTTGTGTCATACACTTAAAGGCATAAATACAAGATTCGCAAAAGAAGCCTTAAGCCTCCTAAGACCAAATTCATCATGCTCAATGTTTAATGAAAAACATAGAGTTTCTAAGGATAATAGGATAAGGTTTTGAGAAACCTATCTCTGTAGTTATTTTCTACGGAAGAGACAGCATACTTGAAATTAAAAAAAAATAGGGCACACACATGAAAATATTACCTTTTGTAACACAATCTCATCCAGCTTTTCCAAACCTCAAGAACATTCAGAAGGGGAAATGACAACTTAAAACTAACTCCTATTATCACATCGCAAATGAAAGTCATTAAAAGACATCTTCATAACAGTTACGCTTTCAGGTCAGAAGATTTAAAAGTACAAGCGAATGGTAGGAGTTGTACAGGCCTATCAACACCTTTAAATGATCGACTGTCTTTTGCTTTCTGGCTTTACAAGGCGTGTTGCCGTGTGCATTGTCGAGTTATTCATTGGTCAAGTGACTCCTTTTGTTACTCTAATTCAACTGGTAGATTTACCATACATCACTCGCCATTAGTTAATTTCCTTTTACTTAGGAAAATAAATAAAATTTCCGCATAGCCCCTTACTATTGTAAAACAAATCTATTTTCCCAATGGCAATGTATTGTTTTTGTCACTGATTTCTCTATCCAATAATGCATAATGGAGTGAGGGGTTGTGCGGAAATTTTACCAAATAGATTTACAACACAATCGAGTATACAATAGTAACGCTGTGTAACGCAACAATATGCTTTTCCTCGGCCATAATCGGTCTCAAACACTAGCACTTAAAATGCGAGAAATACAAGTACTGTTGGAGGACGTTTGAGAGCGTTTGGTCAAAGCTGTTAAAGAAGGATCAAAGCGGCCATCTAAATCTTTGAAAGGCTCCAAACTACGACGTACATCCAATTTGACCTTCTCGAAAATCGGGCTCAAATTACATACTAAAAGACCGTGATTACGTTTTTCCTTGAGAACCATAAAATACACGACAATACGTACAAAAATACTTTTACACATTAAGAATAATTCAAATTACATTTACCTATGGTAAAAGGAAAAGGGAATGGCCTAACTTTCACGGAATATTCAGTCAAAATCTGGCAATTTCTTGTGCTTTCACCGCCATATTGAAAATTAAGCTTCCACAATGCAACGCAATCGGAGTGCGCACACTGCCTAGTCCATAATATGATTCCCCACACATGACGTATTTACGAGTGACAGTGAAATCGGCCTGCCCTTTGAGAGCGCTAAGCGATTTTTATCAGCCTCTCTGTGGATAAACAGTCATTATTTTTCTACGCATGGATTTGGGAGAGAGCAAGGAAAAAGCAAGACTGGCCATCGTTCATTTTAGTGATTAATCGATCGGGTGAGTTTTATTTGTGAAAACTCGGCCCCCATAGCGGGAGTTCTAACTTCCCTGTCCACACCCTTTCACTGGGGTACACGATTGGGTTTGATCAAGTATTCCAGCACTTTCCCGAAGGTGACTCGCAATTGTGAGAAACTGCTCAATTGATTCATTTAAATCTGGCCTAGGACGGCTCAGACTCTGCAGAAGTCGGAAGCTCAGGTAAATTTCCATTTCTTTAATTTTTGCCTATACTTTCCTCCCATAAGTTCATTGGCAAGAATCGTCTCTTTTTCAGGCGCATGTTTAATAGTAGGTGAGTGGTTTTTCTACGGAAGTCTGGTCTTGATTATTTCATAATCCTTGACGACTGGATTTTACTTTTTTCCGTTTTATCTTGGACGACCTTTATCAACCAGCGAATAACTCATCAGTTTTCATTTGTTTGTTTGTTTGTTTGTTTTTTTTTTTACTTTTTTCATGAGAAGACTGAGAGATGAAGTTCTCAATCTACCACAGCGAAAGGTTTATAGCCTGCCTGAATACTACGCTGCCATGAAATGACGTCAAAGTACGAGGACAACCACGTGGTTGAAGATCACATGGGTGATCTTTTGATTCTCATTGGCCACTTTCGCGACGAACTGTGTTGAAAGAACTCTATTACGGTATATTCCCAGTTATTTTGCCATTTCATGTTTACTATGGCTTGTTATCTCACCTTATACGTTATTTCATCGTTAATGGTGCTCCAGGGTAAGTAAACTTACATAATTTGTGTCTAAATTTCTCTCAATGAGGAGGACTTAAGATCTTAGTGGTGCGTATGTCGTTTGTTGGCTGACTCCTGCGTATTATTTTCCGATAAAATTTCCGCACAGCCCCAGACTATTGTAAAACAAATCTGTTTTCCCAGTAGCAATGTATTTTTTTGGGATTGTTTTCTTTATCCAAGAACTGAATGCATAATGTAGGATGAGGCTGTGCGGAAATTTTACCCTCACGAGAAACCGAACAGGGTTTACTGTTGGGTCAGCAATCTTACCGTTCAATGACTAAGTGTAATCACTGTATTTTCGTTAGATTCATGCCTTGCCGGGCTATTTTCTCACTTTCACGACAAGATCGAAAGGGGGGTCGTATTGTAAAAAATGTATCCTAATCAAAATGTTAGCATCAAGGTGGTGATCTTTTACCCTTTTCAGCGGGAGGCAATACAAGCAATACGAACAAAACCAAAACAGGAGCAGGCCAATACGAGTCACATCAATGTGGTGAGCTTAGATTATATTAGGATGCCAACATCAACTTAAAACAGTTTGTTTAATGAACATTATTTTTTAAGTTTGTACATTATGTTAGTTGAAGGTTTAAGATGTTCCACAATCCTGGGCACTTGCATTTGAAAAAAATGCTATCTGAAAGAACTATTGTGTTTACACCTTCTAACTGTATTTTTTTTACCTCTCAAGTCAATTGGTGTTAATTAGACTTAGGTGTGAGCAGGACTTGTATGTGACAGAGCTCTAACTCAAGTTGATTTTCTGTCAAAGAGTGTGATACCATGGGCTTTACGTACTGAAAGGTGGAAAGGGGTGGGGTGGGGTGTGGGGCATGCTCAGCCAAAAATTAGCATGAAAATGAAGAAGCTAAGATTTACATTCTGTTATTCTGATTGAGAATTTCCACTTTTGGAAAGTGTTCAAAGCAAGTACAAAGGGAACAAGAAGTAAATTACAATTAGAGGATTAATTAATTATATGGGCACTCACTGGTGACAAAAGTGATAGTTTGCTATCTCAAAATCAACTGTTTTAATAAGTGATAAACAAAAGCCTTCAGTTTGAGAGTGTAAGATTGAATTTGCTTGAGTGTTTTAATTTCACACTTAATACATGAAACTTGGAGCTCTGATGTAGACACTTTGTGGTTTCTTGAAAGGACTCAATATGAGTAAGTGGACAAATACTTTGGCAAATGGTTGATGTTTACTTGCCACTAAAAAATTGTTTGCATGATCTCTTTTTTATTTTTTTTTGAGAGTTAGTATAATTGTGAACTTAGTGAAAGGTTGATAGTATTTATCACTCTAAAATACTGCATTTTGAAATTATTCCTGACCAGTGGTTAGGTATATTGAGAGGATACTATATTCTAACTAATTAATTTATCAGGAATGTAAATTATTTAAAAAGGATTGGTGAAATTATGTTTTTAAAAATACATATATATTTTTTATCGTCTTTAGTTTCAAAAGAATACTTTGATGTCAAAGAGGGGAAACCAGTCCAAATTATCTGGAATAAATCCTCTAGTGGTGAAGAGCTTCGTGGCTATCGCCTTGTCCTAAAATCAGAAGCAATTGCTTATTTGCCTGAAGGATCCTTAAACATGAGTTGCAGCACATTTATAAAAGATCCAAGTCTGAAGGAATTCTGCAACAAGAGATTAGAATTCTCCAGCAACACATCATCTATCATACTAAAGATAAGAGATCCTTCCAGGCATGAAAATTGGAACTTCACTCTGAAATATGTGTTGACGGGCCCATCGCCCTGTAATTGTCTGGACATCAAAATTATAAGAGGTAGGTGACTGAAAATGTACTGTGGTTGCTTACATATCCACTTCTTTATCTGCAGGGGTCGTGGGTTCAAATTTTTAGAGGTCTGAATTTTTTCA